TATTTTTGAAGTAATATAACAAATACAAAACCTTCCATGAATTCTCACAGCTATAGCTGAGTTTTGCAGTATAATTCTTGCTTACTGGCCATCTATAATGGACATATGAGCAAAGATTTGTGTGAATAAAAGGGACACAAATATTTGGGACCTTATGACTTTATAGATACATACTCATGTCATGACAATCCCACTGAAACTATAAGAAACCATACTGTGAAACTGGGGGTTTACCCCAAGCATGCACAGGCATGGGGCAAGACATGAACCAATGAAACAATATTCCAAAAGTAAACCCATGTCTCATGGAAGTTTGTTACTTGACAAACACAGTGTTCCATAACAATGGGGGAAGAGTAAGTCTAAATAGCTAGTAAATATTACTGGGATAGCTGGCTTTCCAAACAGCCTATTCCTACTACACACTATAAATATAAATACGTTTCAGGTATTCAGGGTTAAAGGGTTAAGTACTGAAAATAAGAAAACAAGCTATCTGATTAAACTTAGGATAAAAGAGGTCACCAGCACCTTAAAAAAATCTCTGCTTTTGTAAAGCCTCAGAAATTGAGTTAAGATTCAAATTGTCCCTCTCTACAGAAATCTTTAAGAAAAGGTATTTATATGAGCTGAATAAGACAAAAATGCAAAAGTCAAATAGAAAGTATAATACATTTTTTAAAGCTTAAAAAGAATTCTGTTCAATGAGAGAGAGAGAGAGAAAGAGAAAGAGAGAGAGAGAGAGAGAGAGAGAGAGAGAGAGAGAGAGAGAGAGAAGCCAGGCATGCAGGCACAGGTCTGGAATCCCAGCTTCATGGGAGGCTGAGGAACAAAGATCACTAGTTCAAGGCTTGTTATGGCTACTAGCCAGGCTGGACAACTTAATGTGACTTTTTCTCCAAGTAAAAATTCTAAAAAATGGGCTGTTGAGGAAGAAGTTATGGTCTTCAGTGATGTAGCCACTGAGGAGTTCCTCACACACCAGCAGACCAGGGCTCCACAACCATGCCCACTGGCTGGCCCTGGTTAAACTCAGTGAGAGGGTCACAAAGCAAAAACAAAAATAAAACAAAAAAGGCTGGACAGTGGTGGCGCACATCTTTAATACCAGCAGTCAGGAGGCAGAGGCAGAGACAGGTGGATCTCTGTGAGTTCAAGGCCAGCCTGGTCTACAAAGCTACAAAAAGAAACCCTGTCTTGAAAACAAAACAAACAAAAAAATAAAACAAAAAGACATGAAAGTGGTATGGGGCTTGAAAATGGGAGGGAGAAAAGAGAAGGTGGGGATGAATGTGACTATTGTGTATTATATACATGTATGAATTTGCCAAAGGATAAATAAATGAACAGATACGTAAAAGGAGAGCTGGGGATATCCTTGAATGGGAGAGTGTTTGCTTAGCATTGACTCAAGCCTAGGTTCGATACCTAGTGTTGCAGAAACAAAAACCCAAAACCAAAATCACAGACAAGGATTTAAGCAGTATACTATGACAAAATACTTACAATAGACATGTTAGGCAAAAGGCTACTATAAAAAAATACACAAACACTCGAACAGTGACAAGAAAAACAAAAAATAATAAATGGGTAAACATTTAACAAATAGTTCAGAGAAGAAAATTGAAAAATATGAGATTGCAACTTCACTGATAAAAACCCTGCCAGGACATAGGGCTCAATTTGTATCAGGTGCTTTTCCAAATGTATAGCTATCAATTCATTTCACGTCACAAGAGATCTATAAGACAGATACTGTATTAGTCCTATTTTCTACCTAAGAAGACTGAGGCGAGACTGCTCGGGAACACAGGACTAGACTTCTAAGGCAGTCAGTGAAGTTCCTCAGCTCAGTATAGCTTTTCTCCGCCTTTTTTTTTTTTTTTTTGAGACGGTGTCTAGAATTTGCTATATAAATCAGGTAAACTAAACTGGCCTCAACTCAGCGATCTGTCTTTTCCCCAGCCTCCTGAGCACTGGGGTTAAAGGCATGTGTCACTACCACCTAGCTAGTATAGCACTTAACCACTATGATACATTATTTTTCCAGAGAGCTGGAGATGCAGGAATATAATTTTTAAAAAGATATACTTTCTTTTCAAATGAAACAAGATTTTCAAAACAAGAAAAACAAGTCAATGTGCAAAATTGAGTACTGCTGGTGGGAGAATATAATAGTGCTGTTTTTTTTTTTTTTTAAATAGTAATGTGGAAAAACCAGCAATGCTGTATTTTGAATGAGAATGGCCTCCACAAGCTCATATATTTGAATGTTTGGGGAGGATTAGGAGGTGTGGCCTTGTTAGAGGCATGTTACTGGGAGTGGGCTTTGAGGTGTCAAAAAAACTTTCAACGTTCCCAGTTATCTTTCTCTGCCTAATATTTGGGGATCAGATGTCAGCTCTACCACGCCTACTTACCTGTAGCCTCTAACCCTCTGAAACTGTAAGTCCCAATACTTTTTCTCTAAGTTCCATTGTTCAGTGTCTCATCACAGCAACAGAAAAGTAAGATAAGTGGTAAGCACAAAAACTTTTCCAGAAACAATCTGAAAACAGTTCAGAAAAAAAAAAAAATCCAACAAAGGGAGGCCAGTGGTCAAGTTGCTTCTAACATAAAATTATCTTTTAAAAAAATGAAAGCAGAAGTCTGAGTGGGGTGTGGTGGTAGTGGCAGCATGCTATATAGCTTTTCTACACTTCAGCTATCCACATCTGCTTATGGGCCCTATTATAAAGACAAACAGAAACATCCATGGAACTATAAAAGGGTCTGTTACTAAACTTCATGATCTAAAATCATTGAGCATTTATCATGAATGGCAATATGTAAGGCCTTCTGTTTTTAAACAGCATAGCAGGGCAACTCATTTTCCAGTCCCCTCCCAGCCACAGGGAACGGTTTCTTTTCTTCTCATACACTCGGCTTGCTTGCCCTTAAGACCAAACCATCAAAACCTCAGAAGATTAGTTTTGCACTTGAAGTGTTTTCATTTTTGCACATAGAACTTCCTGTGTTGCTTTTCTCTCCCTGGTGCTACAGAAACCCAAGACCTTGTTTATACTTCCAGTCCACTCCCCCACCACTCTTAGACATGTGGGGTTTTTTTTTTGTTTGTTTGTTTTGGTCCTTTTTCTTTTTTTGGTCTTAGGGTCTCTCATTCTGTAGCTTAGACTGGTCTTGAATTCATGACAATTTCCTGCTCCAGTCACCAAGTGTGGGAATTATAAGTATGATCTATCATGCCTTGCCAAGCTTTCTAAATTTTACTATCACCCTTGGTTCCCCCCCTTTTTTTCTGAGAAAAAACCCTTCACAGGTTTTTCTGTGTAGCCCATCTGTCTTCCTGTAACTCTCTTTGTAGACCATATGGTTTTTCTGTGTAGCCCATCTGTCTTCCTGTAACTCTCTTTGTAGACCAGGTTGGCCTTGAACTCACAGAAATCTGCCTGCCTCTGCTTCCCAAGTGCTGGGATTAAAAGCATTCGCCACCATGCCCGACCATCCTTGGTTTCTAACTATGACAAAGCAATTAAATCCTGGAAGAGGTGAAACAGGTCCTGTGAAGATGCAACAGGTTGCTCAGAGAACAGTGCTTCCTAACCCTTCATGGAAGAAGGGGCTCAGTAAGAGATGGGTACACTGCACGGAGGGAGGAACTTATGAGTATTCCATACTGATGGAAGGAATGTAAGCAGAGATCAAGGTCAGCAGAAGGCAAAACTACAATACACTCTATTTGCATTTTATGGTGGCAAATATTCCACCAAAATACAGAGCTTCTAGTCGGAGGTGCTGGCCCACACTCTGAATCCTAGCACTTCGGAGACAGAGGCAGGTGGATAGCTACTTGAGGCTAGCCCGGTCTACACACAGAGTTCTGGGTCAGCCAAGTTACACACTGTGACCCTGTCTCCAAAACGAAACAAACACTGCAAACCTTTCTTACTATATACAGAGGTTGCAAATGTCGCACTACAACTACAACAGGCCTGAGGTAATTGTTTATTTTCTCTGCCTCCTCACTTTTCTTCCTTTTTGAAGGAGGGTCTTCAGGAACTCAGGCTGGCCTCGAACTATGAAGCCGAGGATGACCTGAATTTCTGATCCTCCTGCTTCTATCTCCCAAGTACTGGGAAAACAGGCATTGGGCACCAAGTCCACCGAGGCAATGATTTCTTATATGACATGGTGTCCTCAACAGAAGTTAACTGTGAACAGCTCCCCTGTGATAAAGCATTAACCGAAGCAATGCCAAGGAACAAAGATAGTTTTGCTAGGAGTCAGTTCAAAACCAAAGTACCTCAAGACATCTCTCACACACACGATCATGCTGGAAAGATAACTTGAGAGGCTGAGGAGAAAAGGGACCATCCAATGCCTCAAAGGCCAAGAAAGTGTTAAGGTGGGGTTGGTCTTATATTTCTCTTTCCCCACCTTCCCACTACTCCAGCCCTACAAGAAGCCACAAGTGAGGAAGAGAAGTTGTGGAAACAAGACGGGTGTTGGTGGTGGAGTGAGATGAGGTACCCAAGAACATGTCCAGTTATCTCACACAAGGTCACTTGCTTGGAGTCACTTTCCCCTGCTCCCTCATGGGCTTCCCGCCAAAGATGCTCCAAAGCAGGTTAGGAGGCCAGCCCGACGCACCCCCTCGGCCTCAACCTGCGGACCACGACCCCCGCCTCCCCAGCCTTCTGGTCCGGACCAGCCCCACAGGACACCGGCTTTTGATGCCTACAACTCTGGCAGCCAGTCCCGGGGCTCCTCCGGTTCCGTCCCCTGAGGCTCCGTCAACGTCCCCTTCCTCCCTCAGGGCGTCCCTGTGCCCGCCTCCCGTTCGCGGTCCCTCCCGGGGGCCCGGCACGCCGTTCCTTTCCAGCCCCCGCTCACAGCCCTTCTTCCCGGCGCCCCCCTGGCGCCCCGCCACTGCCCGGCTCCTGCAAGCCCCGGCCTCCTCCCAAGTCCTCCCGGCCCCGCCCCTGCTCCCGGGCGGATACAGTTTGAAGCCTCTCAGGATATCCCTGGCCCGCTCGTCCTTGGCTGACATGATGCGGCGCCTGCCGCCTGCGGCCCTCCCACGCTGGCTCGGCGGGGCCCCGCCGGCGGGTGAGGACGGAGCTGCTGCCGGGCCGGACACCTCAGGCGAGCAGCGGTAGCGGCCAGACCCGAACCGGCCTCTCCCTCCCCTCAGCTCCCGCTCCTGATCCCTTCTCCTTCCCTCTAGTCGAGGAGCTCCCGCCCTGAAACCAATGGCAAGCCAGCCTTGACGATTGGCATTCCGAGCAGCCAATGGCAACGCTCAGCGGCTTCGCTCGGGGACAGAGAGCGTCAGTGGGAAAGGCCCTCCAGGAGGAGTCCCGGAGGACAGAATTTTCATTCGTGTTGTTGCCTGGAGTTTGTCCCAGCGGAGAGCAGTGGCTGGAAATCTTCAGAGGTTTGAGGAGCCTGCTCCCGTCGCCGGGCACACTTGCGGTCTGAGACTATGGCAGGCTGCTCTGTGCAAAGTGGCAGAAACTACATTTCCCAGGCTCCCAGGGAGTACGGAATCCCAGCTCGCCACTTAGAAGCCAGGGACTACAAATCCCAGCACAATCTGCGCTCCGTCTTTCTAACTTGGGCTCCAGTGTGCCGCGCAGGGTGCGCAAATTTGGAATCCTTCTGTAGGATTCGTTTCTGAATCCCGTTACTTGAAACCCGGCGGGAAGGTCCTCATTCTCCCTGGAGACATGACAGCCTGCCGACAGTTAACTTCTGTTTACACGGAACTCAGAAGTCTGCAAACCATGGTAAGACTGCAAACAACTAACAAAACCACGGATTAAGCCTTGAAAGATAATAGAACAAAATGACTTCCTCAAATAGTACTAATTTATTAGCCTGGAGTGCAGTTTTATGTGTTTTGCAGGGTTTATGTTGTGTTTCAGCTTCGGGCTGGGAGAGCTAAGGATTGTATACCCAATGTCAGTATAGGAAGACTTAAAAGAATTTGCCAGCCCAATCACTTTTATCTTTAGTTTTTAAATATGAGGAAATTGAGGACCGGAGAGGCATAGACTGGCCACAGATCACAGCAAGTTGAGACAGAATTTGGCTTTAAGTCTACTGACCTGCAATGTATTCGCTTTGCACTACCCTAGCTAGGGAGGCGATATTTTTAGCAGCATGACAATGTGATTGTTTTTCTTTTTAATGACAGTTTTCCCAACTAGTGTTGAAACACCTAGAGAATAGGTAAGCATTTATTTGGTGGATTTCCTGAACAGAACTATGGTGTGATAGTGTGATATCCTCAGTCTAATAGGTCTTGCTATTTTGATTTGCTTTTTTTGTCATTCAAGTTGACATTTAATATGATTTTTTTCCAGAAAGTAGGTAAAGTTATTTTAACCTCTGTTTCTTTAAAGATGGCTATGTCTTTCCCTAGGCCATCTTCCTATTTCTGTTGCCACCATATCCATTTGAGCACCCACCCATTTTTTTCCTTTCAAGTGATTCAGCAAACCTTTTTAAAATTTTTTTTTGGGGGGTTTAAGGTACTGAGTTAAGTGAAAGATATGTGTCACTATCATTTGGAAGATACATAACTGTTTGGGGAGATAAGGAGATTCAAGATGGAGTTGATAATGGCATAAAAGAAAAGATATTAGAATACTACAGAGGATTACTTTTTGGACTTTTGGTGAAGATCAAGTGGAGAGTGACTTAAGAGATGCTGATGAAGTGATTATAACAAATGGCAAAACAGTGCGGTGGAAGTGACATTTTAATTTCCCAACCTGTGGGTCATGTCCCCCTTGGCAAACCCCTTTCCGAAAATATTTACATTATGCTTTATAAAAGTAGCAAAATTATAGTTATGAAATAGCAATGAAAATAATTTTATAGTTGGGTGTCACTGCAGCATGAACTGTATTAATAGGTTGAAGCATTAGGAAGGTTGAGAACCACTGACTTAAATCATGTTAGATTTTTTTAATGCTGAGCTATCTTTGTTGCTGAGATGTGTCATACACTCCGTGAGAGAAGATACATAAACCCATCAGGACCACCCAAGTCAAGATGTAGAACACCTGGAACATTCATTGTGCCCTTTTCAATCAGTACTGCATCCTCGTATCTGGAGGTAATCAACCACTCTCCTGGTTTTATGGCTATTAGATATTTTGTGTGTATTTGAATTTGTATGTAGATTTCATTATGTCTGGCTTTCTTGTTAATCAGTATTTTTGTGTTTGTAGCATTTTTTTTAAGTTGGCAAGTTTTATGTGTAAATCACAGAGTTTGTCATTGACAGGAATATATTCTGAAGTGAATGTTCTTGTTTGCTTCCTTTTGTGGACGTGCTGCATAGATTTTAGGGAAAATGTCGTTAAACTTGTAGATATTCCAGTGGTCAGAGGTAGTAGATATGTCCAGTTTTCCAAAGTGATTGAGAACTGAGGCTCTTGCCCACTATGTAGGAAACTTCTAGTTGGTGTTCATTCTTGTTGACACTGTGTGTTTGCCATAAGTCTTTTTAATTTAGGCCACTCTGGCTAAATGTGGTATTTCTTTAAAGTATGCATTTCTATTTTTCTGATGCTGACTACATTAACTGCCTATTTGAATGGTTTTTTTGCCAAGTGCCTAAGGCTTTTGCCCACTTATTAGTCATTTGTCTTTCTACTGATTTGTAGTTCTTTATGTAGTCTTACAGATTTCTTTTTCTTTCTTTTCTTTTTTTTTGATTTTTCGGGGGGGGGTTTCTCTGTGTAGCTTTGGAGCCTATCCTGGCACTCACTCTGGAGACCAGGCTGGCCTCGAAGTCACAGAGATCTGCCTGCTTCTGCCTCCCGAGTGCTGGAATTAAAGGTGTGCACCACCAATGCCCGGCCAGATTTCTTTTTCTGACATATACTTTGCATATATCTTTTCCAAAGTTGTGGCATGACTTCTCACTAGTGTTTTTTGAAATATAAATTATCTCTTTTTTTGTTGTTATGTCAGTGTTGGGGATTGAACCTAGGACCTTGCCTATGCTAGGCAAGAGCTTTACTACTCACCTACATTCTGTCCTCAGTACAGATTTTTAAAAATTGTTTTACATTTATTTATTTTATTTTTATGTGTGGACTGGAGAGATGGCTCAGCCATTAAAGGCTAGGTTCATAGCCAAAAATATTTATTTTATGTACATGAAGGTTTTGCTTACATGTGTGTATGTGCACCATACATATGGTTGGTCTCCTTGGAGGTCAGAAGAGGGTGTCAGATCCTTTTGGAACTGGAGTTATGGATGGTTGCAAATGTCATGTGTGTGGTGGGAACTGAACCTGGCTATTCTACAAGGGCAATGAGAGTTCTTAACTACAGGACCATTTCTCCAGTCCCATTTTTTTTTAAGGGAAAGAAAGCGTTATTAAGCACATTGTAAGGGAACAGCAGGCTGGGCAATAACTAGAGTACTGCCATAACCAGAAATGATTAATTTAATAGAATAGTTTAAGTTTTTTTTTAAAAAGACTGCTCTTTTCATTGAATTTAAGAAACATTGTGTATATGGTTAATAGAATTCTTATAGGAAAATATGAGAGAACATTGTAAAAATTAAAAAAAAAATGAGACTGGGAGGAGGGTGACCTAGAGAGATCCGCCTGTCTCTGCCTCCTGAGTGCTGGGATTAAAGCAGTGTTCCACCATGCCTGCTTCTTCCATGTTTTAACCACCAAAAAACCAAACCAAAACAACCTCTCCCCCCAAATCTAGTTTTTCTTCCCCATCTATTCTTTTTTATGCTTCCAATTTTTCTCATGGCACTTAATCCCCAATCTATTCTTTTTTATGCTTCCAATTTTTCTCATGGCACTTAATAGACTGGAGCTTTTTGAGGGTAATAACTTTGTTTTTATTATCATATAACCTTCTGTAATTCCTGCTAGAACACAATAGGTAAATTTATTTATGTGTATGCATGCTTTGCCTGTATGTATGAATGTACCGTGTGCATGCCTAGTGTCCATAAGAAACCAGAAGAGGTCATTGGATTTCTCTGGATCGGGACTTCCTGGTGGGTGTAAGCTCCCATGTGGGTGTGTGCTGCCATTTGGGTGCTGAGAACCCAACCTGAGTCCTCTGCAGCAGCAAAGCCTCGTAACCCCTGAGCCATCTCTCCAGTCTTGTATCTGCTTATCAGAATAGAGGTTAAGAATATCGTCTTTCGTTTCCGTGAACCTGGATTCCAACATTGCCACTTATTGACTTGAATAGTTTAGCTTTAGCATAACGGAAAATGAGAATATTTTATACATGTCAGAGTTTTATGAGAATTTGGCAAGATAAATATGGACATGTGCCAAACAGAAAAAAAAAATAGTTCAATAAATAGTGTGTCAGAACTCCAGGGTAGCTGCAGTTGCCTGAGAACTCACTTGTAAAGAAAGTTTAACCAAAGGGGTGCTTTTTGGCCCAGGGTAGTGATGATGACAGCTACTATATAGGCCCGAGAATTACCTAGGCCATATTCTTCTCCTCGGGCTCTATGTTTTACTTGCCTTTCCTTCCATTTCGGGCTCTGTAGCTGGCAGGGACCCTCTTCTCCCGCCACAACCTCACTCTAGGTGGGAGGTTGGCAAAGCCGAGCGGGAACATTGTGTAGGCGGAACTCGAGTGCAGTGGTGGGAGGCTTCCGGGGGAACAGCACCGGTGACGGGTCGGCGGAGACAGAAAAGCGCCGGACGCCCGGCTGATCATGGAAGCTTGACAACCTGCAGGCAGGCTCTGGGAGGCCGAGACATCGGCGAAGAGGACAGAGACTCGGGCGCGGACAGGTAGGGGATGACAAGAGGGCAGGCCCCGCTGGTCTTGGCTGGACCTCCAGCTTCCTTCCCGCCGGCTTTCCCAAGAAAGCCAATGGCCACGCCGCCCCGCCCCCGTTGCAGGACGCCGGGAGGTCCTCACTGTGTACTGGTGGCTAGGCGCAAGCCCACCAGTCCCGACGTCCACTCTAGCTTGCGGCTGTCATCTTCCACGCGGGTAGCTGCCCTCGATGCGCCCCTTCCCATAAAGGCTGTTTCCTTTGACCCTTTTTGGCGCTTCAGAATAGCGTCTTCCCTAGACGGGAATTCATCTCCACTCCGTCTCTATCTGCCTCCTCGAGGAGCCTCCCACTTCAGAAGAAAAACGTCGATCACCATCTTATTCCGACCACGGTATCCCCACAGACTTTGCTCTTGAGATTGAGATCTTTCAGAGGCACCCGAGTTTCTCCCCATCCCCAACTCCTTTCCCGCTCTGGTCCTTCCACTTAGTCTCTTGGCTGAGAGTCCCATCAGTCTTTTCAGTTGTGTCTGCATTGTGGCGGGGGGTGGTGAATGGGGGGCGGACGAACCAGGTTTTGTTTCTCATTTTCCAGCTTAGTCGTATTCTCACCTATCTTCCTCTCCTCCCCTTCTCGTTTTCTTCCATTCCTCAGCTTTTCTTTTTTTCTCTTCAGAAATCTTTGTTTTCTAGCACTTCACTTTTTCTGTTTCTGACAGGATCTTCTTAGGTAACCCCAAGTGAGGCAACATAACTTTTCCTAATATCCTGAAAGGGCTCTTCTTTGTTTTTTGTTTTTTGTTTTTTTTTTAATCATCAACACACACCCACTTTCAGTGTGTATCATTTCTGGAAAACAAATCTCATGTGGCATTTCTTTAGAGCCCATACACACTCAGAATATATTTATATCACACAACTGATAAACTCTTCTGAACGTAATATCTTCTTTGGGGGTTGGAGAGATGGCTTAGCTGTTAAGAGCACTGGCTGGCCAGGCAGTAGTGGTACATACCTTTAATTCCAGAGGCAGTTGGGTCTCTGTGAGTTCGAGGGCAGTCTGGTCTACAAAGCGAGTTTCAGGACAAGCAGGGTTACACAGAGAAACCCCTTCTTTAAAAAAAAAAAAAAAAAAAAAAAAAAGGAACACTGACTGCTCTTCCGAAGGACCTGAGTTTGAGTTCCAACATCCACATGATGTCTCACAACCATCTGTAACTCCAGTCTCTGGGCATCTGATGTCCTTTTCTGTCTTCTGTGGACACCAGACACGAACATGGTATACATTCATAAGTGCAGACAAAATGCTCTTGTAGATAAAATAAATTAATTAAAAAAACAGTATGTGCATTTTTACTTCATACCCTGTTATTAAATTTTGTACAAGTTCTGGAGTCATGTTTCTTTTTTTCTAAAGATTTATTTATTTATTTATTTATTTATTTATTTATTTATTATAGTATTCTGTCTGCATGTACACCTGCAGGCCAGAAGAGGGCACCAGACCTCATTACAGATGGTTGTGAACCACACCATGTGGTTGCTGGGAATTGAACTCAGGACCTCTGGAAGAACAGCCAGTGCTCTTAACCACTGAGCTATCTCTCCAGTCCTGGAGTCATGTTTTCTTTTTTCTTTTTTGGTTTTTCAAGACTGGGTTTCTCTGTGTAGCTTTGGAGCCTATCCTGGCACTCGCTCTTGAGACCAGGCTGGCCTCGAACTCAGAGATCCTCCTGCCTCTGCCTCCTGAGTGCTGGGATTAAAGGCGTGTGCCATCAACGCCTGGCTGAAGTCATGTTTCTTAAAATGTATCAGCAGGAGGCCAAATAGATGCATTTTCTGGCTTAAACAATTTATCTTCTAGATTTGAATTGTCTTTTTTTCCTCCTTCCTTCCTTCCTTCTTCCTCTTCTCCTTCCTTCCTTCCTTCCTTCCTTCTTCCTTCTTCCTTCCTTCTTTGCTTTCTTTTTTCTTTGAGACAGTGTCTCTCTGTGTAACAGTCCTGGATGTCCTGGAACTCACTCTGTAGACCAGTCCTTGATCACAGAGATCTGACTGCCTCTGCCTCCCAAATTCTGGGATTAAAGGTGTAAACCACCACAGCCCTGTTAGATTTGAATTATCATTGCTTAATTTTGTAATTATTTTTCCCACTTTCCTATGTTGAAATGACTTTATCCCATTGATGGGGAACCCAGTGCCTTGTATTGTGGTAGAATATTATTTTAAGGTATGTTTTTTTTTTCTGTTTATGCTGCATTTGTTTAACTCTGAAGCTGTGTTACTTTGCCTGTATAAAACACCTGATGGTCTAATAAAGAAGTGAACAGGCAATAGCAAGACAGGAGAAAGGCTAGGTGGGGCTGGCAGGCATAAAGAATATGTAGAAGGAGAAATCAGGGAGGAGAAAAGAACTAGTCAGAGGAGGAGGATGAGGACTTGGACTGGAACTCTAGGGGCCAGCCACCCAGCAAGCCACAGAGTAAGAAACAAAGAAAGGTATACAGGAATAAGAAAGAAAAAGCCCAGAGGCAAAAGATAGATGGGATAATTTAAAGTTAAGAAAAACTGGCAAGAAACAAGCCAACCTAAGGCATTTATAATTAAGAATAAGACTCCGTGTTTGTGTGTGTGTGTGTGTGTGTGTGTATTCAATTTGCCAGCTGGGTGGAGGGCCTCCAAAAGACCAAAACGCAAAAGAGCAAAGTCTAAAAAAACATGTGGTATGCTAAGTATTGATTTACTGTGGAGTCTTTAAAAATGAGGATTTTTGGCTGGGCGTTGGTGGTGCACGCCGTTAATCCCAGCACTCGGTAGACAGAGGCAGGCCGATCTCTATGAGTTTGAGGCCAGCCACCATGGTCTACAGAGCAAGTTCCAGGACAGCCTCCAAAACAATACAGAGAAACCCTGTCTCGGAAAAAAAAATGAGGTTTTTGATTAAATCGAGTGTGGCTCTTGTCTTCTTTGTTTCCGATATGTGCCTGGTGATTTTTTTGTTTTTTGTTTTTTTGAGACAGGGTTTCTCTGTGTAGCTTTGGAGCCTATCCTGGCACTTGCTCTGGAGACCAGGCTGGCCTTGAACTCACAGAGATCCGCCTGCCTCTGCCTCCTGAGTGCTGGGATTAAAGGCGTGCACCACCACCGCCCTGCTCAGGTGCTGTTTTTATGAAGAGTTGTGAAACTAAAGTGTTCTCGTGTCTGATCCGGCCTTAAACTCATACTTTAGAAAGGAGAATGTGGTAGAAGGACTGACACATTTTCCTTTTGGACAGATCTCAAGACCAGAGAATGGCAGGTGAACAGAAACCCTCAAGCAGCCTCCTGGAGCAGTTTATTTTATTAGCCAAAGGTACCAGTGGCTCCGCCCTCACCACTCTCATAAGCCAGGTGCTGGAGGCTCCTGGAGTATATGTGTTTGGAGAACTGCTGGAGTTGGCCAATGTTCAGGAGGTAAGAAGAGTTTTCAGTGTTTGTCTTCTCAATGTTGTACTTTTCTGATTCTCCAGGTTTCCAGCAGATTTCAACATTGAAGCTTGTGGATTTGTTTGGTGCCCTGTTAATTGGAATTGGTGGGGAGATCAAGGGTAATGTCTCTTAGTTTTTACCCAGGGTTCCCTTAAACTTGAATAGTAAGAAAGTGTGAATGGTCTTGACACAAGTAGTGTTGTTGCTGCAATCAGTTTTTGGTTACTGTACTTTAAAAATGAGATTTATTGAAGAATAAGAGATGTAAATAGGGGCTAGAGAGATGGCTCAGTGGTTAAGAGCACTGGCTGCTTGTCCAGAAGACCCAGGTTCAATTTCCAGCACCCACCTGGTAGCTCGTAACTGCCTGTAAGTTCTAGGGGTCTAACATCCTCACACAGATAGACATGTAGGCAAAACACCTAATGCACATAAAAAATGAAGTCATTAAAAAAAGAAATTGTTGGGGCTGGAGAGATGGCTCAGAGGTTAAGAGCACTGGCTGCTCTTCCAGAGGGCCTGAGTTCAATTCCCATGTGAGCAACCACATGGTGGCTCACAACCATCTGTTATGAGATCTGGTGCCCTCTTCTGCTTTGCAGATAACCATAGAAGCAGAATGTTGTATACATAATAAATAAATAAAATCTGAAAAAAAAAGAAATTGTTAACTGAGATAGCAGGAGAGACTGGAATAATTGGAGGTCTCCAGGTTGTGAAACTGATGATGGATGTTGGGGCTGGAACTAAATTTAATAAGGGACCACTTTTCATAGAAGGTAGCAACAACAACAACAATGCGGGCAGTGGTGACATACGACTTCAATCCCAGCACTCAGTAGGCACAGGCAGGAGGATCTCTGTGAGTTCGAGGCCATCCTGGTCTACAGAGTTCAAGGATAAACTCTAAAGCTACACAGAGAAACCCTGTCTCAAAAAACCAAAAACCAAATCAATTTGTGCTTCTCAGCCTCTACTTCTCACTTTAGACACGATTTTTTTTTTTTTTTTTGGGATGCGCTGAAGGTGGCCCCTGGTGTTCTTGGTGGTAGTGGTCTGCATACAGGATGTGTTGACATTTGTTAGGTAGTTTACCTTCATGGCCACCATGACATTATTGCCATCTATTGTCAGCGCCAATTGTAACCTGAGGTGTGGGCTTTCAGGTTATTGGGCTCAGTACTATTTGTCTACTTATTTCTCTTGATTGGGAAACTAGAGTTACTGTTACTACCTCATACATGGCTTTTCCTATGATGGCCAGAGATGGAATTGGAGCCACTGTTGTAATTTAAGAAAAGCAGCGTGTGAGAGAAAGATGCCATGAGACAGGGTTCAAGCAGACGGTTGTTTTTTTTTTTTTTTTTTTTTTAATTAGGGAAAGGGATCATAAAAAGGGGAAAGGGGAGGGGGTAGACCAGCCTCCAGAGAGAGGAGAGAAGAAAGGGGGGGAGAGAGAGGAAAGGGGGGAAAGAAAGAGGGAGAGAGAACAAAGTAGAGAGAGGGAGAGAGAGAGGATGGGAGTTGGGTAGGGCCTTTTAAAAAGGGAACATAGTGAATGTACACAGGTGGTGCTCTTAGTGGCAGCAGTTGAGGGCGTGTCCTGTCAGAACCCCAAGGACAGACCAGTGCAGATGCCTGAGTACTAACAGCCACTTAATTTTCTCTCTTTCCTTTCTTTCTTTTTCTTTCTTTTTTCTTTTCTTTTCTTTTTTTTTTTTTTTTTTTTGAGACAGGATGTTGTTTGTGATGTAGCCTTAAACTTAGCATATAGATGAAGATGAGTTGAACTTCTAGTCCTTCTGTTCTGGGATTATAGGCGTGTACAACCACATCTGGTTTTATTTGGTGCTGAGAATTGAACCTTGGGCTTCATGCATGCATGGTAGGCAAGCACTGTTCCAATGAGCCACATTCCCAGCCAACCTAACTTATTTTGTTAATTGTAAGGGTTTTTTGTTTGTTTGTTTGTTTGTTTTTTCTTTTCTTTCTTTTTTTGTTTTTTTTTTTTGTGTTTTTTTGTTTTTTCAAGACAGGGTTTCTCAGTGAAGTCCTGGCTGTCCTGGAACTCACTCTGTAGACCAAGCTGGCCTCACACTCACAGAGATCTGCCTGCCTTTGCCTCCTGAGTGCTGGGGTTAAAGGTGTGCACTAATACTGCCCAGCCCAATTATAAATTTTTGTTTAATATAGCTTTTGCTTGTTATACTAGGGTCTGTGAAGGTAAAGTCTTTAGTGCTCACTGTTGCTTCCTCTGGCTGAGTATATAGCCTGAAACATAGTAGGCTTTCAGTAAAGATTTGATCAATAATTCTTTGAGGATGATTTGAGAATTAGGCCTTTTGTTTTATTTGATTTTTTTTGTTTGTTTGTTTTGTTTTTGAGACTGACTTTTTCCACCTACCTTGTGCTGGGATTACAGGAGTGTGCTGCTGTGCTTGGCTAGGCTCATTTTCCAATAGAAAAGCTAATCAGCTGTAATGTGTTTCTTCAGATTCATAAAAAACCTGAATGCACATGCCAAGTTCATTTTGACTGTTGAAAACTGACTAAGAAGAAATGAATGAAAAAACAAGCTGGCAAGACTTAGCAGAAAAGTTTTGGAATATCTGCCTTAGAGAAAATAGTCTATTCCAGCTAGCTTTTTTTTTTTTTAATTTTATTTATTTATTATGTATACAACATTCTGCTTATATATATCTGCACACCAGAAGAGGGCACCAGATCTCATTACAGATGGTTGTAAGCCACCATGTGGTTGCTGGGAATTGAACTCAGAACCTCTGGAAGAGCAGTTGGTGCTCTTAACCCCTGAGTCATCTCTCCAGCCCCCCAGCTAGCTTTGTAATTGTGTTCTTTACTGTATCTCTTCCACTCTGATCCTGAGACTTGAGGAAGTTCATGATAACTTGAAATGGTAACTTGAGGTATATAAGGATGCTCCACTCACATTAGTGCTTACTGGGGCTTAGCAAATCACCTTTATCTGCCTACTGTTTCTGTTGCTCCTGTTTTGAGCTAGGAATAAGCTAGTTGCTTTTCAGCATTCTGAAATTATGGATGCAATTACTGGAAGGAACTCTCTTTTAGATAGTTACAATAGAATAGTGTTATTCTTGTGTTGCTTCATGGACTTTGGTGAGTTGGAAGGGGTGGTGTGTGTGTGTTATTGAGGATTGAACCTACATTATTCTGTGTGCTAAGCAGGTGCTCTGCCACTGAACTATGTGCAAACCTTCCTTTTACTTTTATTTTGAGCTTCTTGCTAAGTTTCCTAACCCTGTAGATCAGGCTGGCTTTGAGCTTGTGATCTCTTTCCTTTAGCTTTACAAGTAGCAGGGATTACAGGCCTGTGCAACTCAACTCAGCTGCTTTTTGCATTTTCCACCATGGATGTCATTTTGCCACCAGCATAAGTGAAATAAATTAATGAACATTTTTATTTGGCTCAGGGAAATAACTCTGTTCCAGTATAGCCTTTCTGTCACACCTTACTTACACTGTGTTAATATTGCCAGGATTCATAGTTCATATTTAGTGCTGAAACTTGGAACCAGCCATACAATTTGTTCAGATTTGATTGATAGTGGGTGTCATAACACTAAGCTGGGGGCTGGTAAGATGGCTCAGTAGGTTAGGTGCCACATAAGCCTGATGACCTGAGTTTGATCTCCGAGAACCTTCCTAAAGGTGGGAGGAGAAAATGGACTCCACAAAGTTGTTCTGTGGTCGTACACATGTGCACTGCTTACATGACCACACATACACATCATCTGTACATCATGCAGAACAACAATAAAACAAACAAAAGGATACCAAGTTGGTATGCAGACAGGGTCACCACACTCTTGTTTTTTCATTTGAGACAAGTTCTCATTTCCAAGTCATCCAGGCTGGCTTTGAACTCAGTAGGTAGCTGAGGATAATGTTGAACTCCTGGTCCTGCTGTGTCCACCTGCTGAGGAATTACAGGCGTGTGCTACCATGCCCAGTTTATGCAATATGGATTGGACCTAGCTCCAATATGCCTGTTAGGCAAGCCTCTCCCAGCCTTCAGTATTTGTTTCTAAGGCAGGGGAGGTCCTGAAAAGACTTGAGCTGCTTCTAGGGCATAAAGCTTTGTGGTGGAGGGGCTGGCAAAGGGGCAGGAGAAAGGGAAGAAGCTACTTGAGCATCTTCTATGTTGTGCAAAACGACTTCCTGAGGAAGGAAGAAGATTCATTTTTGGACGCAAATAATCTTGTTTAGTTTTTCTTCAAGAATCAGAAGTGGAAAGAACCTTAGGAACTACCTAATCAAATAGCGCAGAAGAAATGGCCATGATATCTTTGGCATTGGGTCACGTGCCCTCTATTAGAATATTGTAGTGATTAATGGAAATTTGTTGTGTGGTAAACTTTTCTTTTCCTTCCTCAGCTTGCAGAAGGAGCTAATGCTGCATATTTGCAGTTGCTGAACCTGTTTGCCTATGGAACGTACCCAGATTACATAGGTGAGTTGGTTAAGATCCTTCAGAAGATCTTAAGATTGTCTTAATTGTTGAGCTGTTTGTAGGGTAGTTAAGGTTTGAGTTATAATTTGTGGGTGTGGGGCAGAGTAGGCAGGTCTAATTATTGACTTGACTGTATCTCCATCCTCTGTGTTCTGAAGGCAACTTCACAGAAGGATTTCCCTGAAAACCTTTTAATTTCCTAGGCATAAAATGGGGATTGTGTGTGTGTGTGTGTGTGTGTGTGTGTGTGTGTGTGTGTGTGTGTGTGTGTGTGTACACGCGCACGCATCTATGAACAGAGCCCTTGTTTATTTCCCAGATCAGTGTCTTGAGAACTAATGTTTGTAGGGCACTCAACTAGCAAAATAATCCAATGTTTTATTTTTATTTATTTTTGAGACAGGGTCTTACTATGTAGCACTGGCTGGCATGGAACTCACTATACAGAACAGGCTGGCTTTGAACTTACAGAGATACACCTACCTCTGCCTCCTGAGTGCTGGAACTAAAGGCATACTTCATCATACCTGTAGCTTTGGAGCCTATCCTGGCACTCACTCTGTAGACCAGGCTGGTCTTGAACTCACAGAGATCCACCTGTCTCTGCCTCCCAAGTGCTGGGATTAAAGGCGTGTGCCACCAACGCCTGGCCAGTTCAGTGTTTTAAACGTTATCAAAAGTTTTTTGGAGGGTGCTGGTGAAATAGCTCAGCTGGTAAAGGCACCTGATAAAAAGCCTGACTGATAGCTTGAGTTCAATCTCTAGGACCCACATGGTAGAAAGAACTGACCCCTTGCAGGTTGCCCTCTGACCTCTACAATGCACACTGGTGTACACACACACACACACACACACACACACACACACACACTTAAAAAATTCTTGTTATGCTTTCTTTGTTGAGATAGGCTTATGTGTAACATAGGATGGTCTTGACCTCAAAACTTTCCTGCTTTATTTATTCTCTTGAGTGCTGAGATTATAAGGATGAACCACATTGAATGTTACCAAAATAAGATTACTATTATTGAAGAAAATTTGGAAAATAATAAAATGTTAAAGACCATTAAGTTAGCATTAGCACCGGGTGATGGTGGTGCACACCTTTAGTCCCAGCAGGGAGGCAGAGACAGGCGGATCTCTGTGAGTTTGAGACCAGCCTGGTTTACAAGAGCTAGTTCCAGTATAGCCTCCAAAGCCACATAGAAACCCTGTCTCAAACCCCCCCCCAAAAAAAAATCCCATTAGCATTATAATGCTAGTTGTTTTTTTCCCCTTCTGCTTGCTTTTTGTTATAAAAGTGTAATTAGACTGGGTATGCAATCTCATCATACTTTGCCTTTTCCAGGTCTTTGTCCAATCCATATTTAAGATATTTAATAAGTCTGAGTCTTGCTGTGTTGCTGACTTCAAACTCTGGTTTCTTCTGCCTCAGTCTCCCAATTTCTCATCTTACAGATTTGTGCCCTCATGTCTGCACTCATTTTCACTACTTCATAGGGAACTACTGTACCACCGATCTACACTCCTAGCCCATTTGGATGTTTTAATTAAATCAATTAATTATTTATTTATTTTTTTTCTGAGACAGGGTTTCTCTGTGACTTTGGAGGCTGTCCTGGAACTAGCTCTTGTAAACCAGGCTGGTCTCAAACTCACAGAGATCCTCCTGTCTCTGCCTCCTGAGTGCTGGGACTAAAGGCGAGCGCCACCACCGCCCGGCATTTTAATTCACTTATTTTTTTGTTAAATTTTTTATACAATATATTTTAATCATATTCTTTCCCCTCTCACTCCTCCTAGAACCTCTCCACCTCCCTGTTCAGCCAACTTCATGTTTTTTTTCCTCTCAAAAAGAAAAAAACAAAAACCAAACTAAAAACAAAAAACAGTAAGATAAAAAATAAAACAAAAACAAAGCAAAAAGCTCTCAAAAAAACATGAGTCCATTTTGTGTTGCCTCACTGCTCCTGGGCATGGAATCTGCCTAGAGTACAATTGATGTACTCAGCCACACTCCATTGGAGAGAACTCATTTTCCCTTTCCCAGCAGGTATCTGTTACAAATAGCTTCTTAGGTATGAGGCCTTGTGTCTGTTTTCCCTCTCAGTGTTGGGATTTTGTCTGGTTTGAGCCTGTGCAGGTTTTGTGTCTGCTGTCAGTCTCTGTAAGTTCATGTGCACATCGGTCCTGTTCTGTCTGGATGATAGCGTTTCCTTGGAGTAGTCTACCACTTCTGGCTCTGAAAGTCTTTCCACCCGTCTTCTGCATAGATCCCTGCACCTTGGGTGAGGAAGAGTCTGATGGAGACACCCCTTTGGGACAAGCGCTTCCAAGTCTCTCACTCTTCGCACATTGTCCAACTATGGGTCTGTGTGTTAATTACCAAGAGTAGTTTTAAATTATAATTGTAACTCAGGAGTGGGCTGGCAAGATGGGTCAGTAGGTGATAGCATTTGCTGTGCAAGGCTGCAACTTCTGTTCCACCCTGACTCCGGGGAGTTGTTCTCTGACCTCCACATGCACATTGTAGCACACATGTGTTCACACACACATTATATACACCTCACAATAATAGTAAATAAAATGTTAAGAGACATTAAGTCATCAGGAGTGAGGTACTTGCATATCCAAATGTCACCTTTATTTGTAACTACTTTTAGTTTTCTGACTTTCCTTTCATCTCCCCTCCCTCCCTCCCTCCCTCCCCCCCTCTCTCCCTCCCTTGATACTATGTAAGTAGCCTGGCACTCAGGACTTTCTCTCCTGTTTCCTTGACCACTCTGTCATTGACCACTTCTGCTTACTCTATGTTGCTGTCTGATTGAAACGTTTGCCGTTTCTGGGTATGTGACATATTTTGTCACTGTCTAAGGAGGCAGCATTACACAGATCCTACACAGATTCTGGCACCAGACTGCCTGCGATAGATGTAGCCCCACTTCTACTAGTTGTGTGTCTTTTAGTAAATTAAATGATCACATGTATACCTGTTTCCCTACCTGTAAAATTAGAGTAATTTTACAAGTCTTTTTTTTTTTTAAAGATTTATTTATTTATTATGTTCTTAGTGTTCTGCTTCCAGGTCAGAAGAGGCCATCAGATTGACTTAGGGATGGTTGTGAGCCACCCTGTAGTTGCTGGGAATTGAACTCGTGATCTCAGGAAGAGCAGCCAGTGCTCTTAACCACTGAGCCATCTCTCCAGTCTCTTATTTTATTTCATTTTATTGGTTTTTCGAGACAGGGTTTCTCTACATTGCTTTGGAGGCTGTCCTGGAACTAGCTCTTGTAGACCAGGTTGGTCTCGAACTCAGAGATCCACCTGCCTCTGCCTCCCAAGTGCTGAGATTAAAGGTGTGCGCCACCACCACCCTCTCTTGTTTTATTTTTTAAGGCATGGTTTCTTTGTATAGCCCTGGCTGTTCTGGAATTGACTCTGTAGACCAGGCTGGCCTTAAACTCACAGAGATTCACTGGCCTCTGTCTCCCAGGTGCTGGGATTAAAGGCGTGTCACTCCCCCCCCTCCCCCAAGCCATTAAGAGCACATTCTGCTTTTGCAGAGGGCTGGAGGTCAGGTCCCAGCACCCACATCAGGCAGTTCAGTATCTCCAAAACTCCAGTTCCAGGGATCCAAAACTTCTGGCCTCTAAAGGTGCCTGTACACATGTGCAGACACCCACACATAGACATACCTACATAATTAAACATAATAAAATATTTTTAAAGAAAGATAATGTGATAAATGTGCCTTTTTCTGTAAACTCATGGGACGTGGGCAATAGCTGAAGTTAAAATACTCATAATTTTCCCACAAAACAGGTGCATATTCACAAGTAGGATAAAAAGCTAGTTTCAAGGTAGGAATTGCTGCTTGATGCATTTCAACAGTATGCTTAAGAAAAAAATTCAGCCAGCTGGTGGCTCACTCCTTTAATCCCTGCACTCAAGGCAGAGACAGGTGGATCTCTGAGTTCAAGGCTAGCCTGGTCTACAGAGTGAATTACAGGTCAGCCAGGACCAAAAGCCAAACAAAACAAAATTGAGTGTCTTGGAATTCAGAATTACGGTTAAAGAGGTTGAGGCATTTGAAATCTTGTCTCGTGCAGTGGCTGTGAGGATGAGCTGCAAATAACACGCTCAGTGAAGGTGTGTTGGACTTAATTGAGCTTCACAAGGGGCACCAACAGTCTCCCAGTAAGACAGCTAGCTCGTCATGTCATGTGTTTGTTTATATCTGGCTTTCATAGTAAACTCCAGTGTAGAGACTGAGTCTTTGCTCCCTGGGAGCATATCATCTCTCGGAGAAGGTAGGGGTTGCTGAATGAGTGAGGGCACAGTCATGACAGTGATCTAGTAGTAGATTGGGGGGGCAGGGTTGACAAGCTTATCATAAAAATAAATCCTAATTTTATTTTGTGTCTTGATTTTTGTGGTGGGTGGGACTGAGCAGCCAACAAGGAGAGCCTGCCAGAACTGAGCACAGCTCAGCAGAACAAGCTGAAACATCTAACCATCGTGAGTTTGGCATCAAGAATGAAGGTACTGTCCCAAACTTTCCTTGTCTTCATCTGAACCCCAGCTCAGGTATCTTATTGGCATCAATGAAAGATTTTGCAGCTAGTCATACCCTAAATGTATGAAATGTACTTGGCAGATAAAAAGATAGCAACTAGGGGCTGAAGAGATGGCTCAATATTTAAGAACACTGACTGCTCTTCCAGAGGTCCCGAGTTCAATTCCCAGCAACCACATGGTGGCTCATAACTGTCTGTACTGAGATCTGGTGCCTTCTTCTGGCCTACAGGGATTCATGCAGACAGAGCACTTAAACATAATAAACAAATAAATGTTTAAAATATTAACTAAAGTTTGTGGACAGTCATTCCCTGTTCTGTTTTGGAAAAGCAAGCCTGGCAGTCATTGATTGATTCGTCAGGCCTCTGTTCTGGCGACTTCATGCGGGGATAGCACTTTGCCAGATTAAGAGGAGCCTGCCTTTAAAAGATATATCTACAGCAAGTATCTTTTTTTGACTGTTTTGTTATGGTGATATCCACTCTCAGTATGTGGTCCAGGCTATCCCCAGTATGCAGCACAAATTGACCTTACAATCACGGCAATCCTCCTGCTTCAGGCTCTCACGTGCTGGGTTACAGGTGTGTCACACCATGCGTGGCCTTAGTAAGGCCTCTTACAGCAAGTTAACAGCTTCCTGAATTTCCTAGAGCACTAAATTCATTGCATGCGTGCTAAAGGAATGACTTGCTATGTTTGACTTACTTATTTGGGTGATACTGGGGATTGAACTCAAGGCTTGTGTACATTAGGCAAATACTTTTTATCATTGAGCCACAACCACTCACTAGTCCAGAGAGGTATATTGCTTTCCCTTTTTCTTTTGAGACAAGGTTTTACTGTGTGGCCCTGGAACTCGTTCTGTAGACTAGACTGGCCCAGAACTAACAGAGATCTACCTGCCTCTGCCTCCCAAGTGCTGGGATTAAAGGCATGTGCCTGCCTGGCAAGGTAGATACCTATTCTGTGTTTCTTTGGGATTTTCAGGGTTAACTGTATTAACTGATTTTTTTTAATGCCTTATCTGCTGTTTTTATTTATTTCATTTTCACATGCCAGCATTAGGCCCCATCCTGTCAAATTCCACCACGTCATAGCTGCAGGTTTTCTGCCTCAGCCACTTTAGAAGAAGCCTTGCAGCCAGTAGCTTACAGCTTTTACAGAGAAGGGCCAGACTCCCATTAGTTTATAGTTGGTTTTGGCTCTCCTCTTCCTGGCTTGTGTCTATCTCTGTGAGAATATGCCTTTGACAAGGTGGCTTTTCTCCTGTGATCAAGAGCTGTGTGTTTGTTCCTTGATGTCTTTTCATTGTTAAAATAGTTGTATGTGATCTAATCAAGGATTTCTGATTGTTAGCCTAGTATTTCAGGTGGGAGGCTCCTCTTTGCTTTTTGTCCATTCCTCCCTCTCTTGTTCTGGAGACTGACTCCGGGATTGGAACTCAGTGCCTTGTGCGTGTTTGTCTGGTGCTCCAGCACTGCGCCACACTCGTGGCCTAGTCAGGCCACTTTGTTGGTCGATGGGGCACAAGTCCCTTGTTCTTTTCCTGATCGTGGACTTGTCAAGCACACTGAAGAGTAGGAGACTGCATTCTTCCTTCCAAGGCTTCATTTGATCCCATCCACCACCCCTGGAGAGTGCTTTAGCCCATAGAAACCCTTCTAGGTGTACTTGCTGTGTTTCTCTTCTGTGCTCACCTTGCTCTTGTCTGTTTCTACTTATTTAATCACTTTATTTCTAAACTAGTTCTGATATCCCAGGATTTGTACAATACATGTATTTAGATACTGTTTTTTAGTATGAAGGGCTGTTATTGGAGAGTTTATAGGTTTCAAGAATTTGAGAAACAAACACAAACTTTAGGATAAACTGTGAGCTGTCAGCTCTACTGGCCACTGTAGGTAGTAGATATGCTGGCCTGCAAGGAGATTGTTTTGTTGTTGGGGCGTGCGTGCGTGCGTGCGTGCGTGTTTGTTTCGCTACTGGAGAAACTATCAATTCAGTGTTTGGCATCTGTTTGGGGCTTGCAACCATTCAGCATTTTATGCAGTCTTCAGGCCTCCAAAAGGTGGCAGTGTAGCACATACTATATCTCTTTGCTGTGGAAGGCTTGCTTAGCATCTGTCAGAGTATGGATGTGGAGGTTGAGAACTAGGTGAAGTCCAGGATATAGAGAACTAGGAAGGTACTTTCTTGGATGCTGTAGGGTCGTGTTTAGGTGTCACAGGTTCCACAGTTTATTTATCCACTTCCTATTTTCTAAGTTATTGATGATTATCACTGGCCTGCATTGCCTAAGCACAGAGAGACAGCTATTGACTGTGTGGGTAATACTTGAATGTTTTTGTTTTTTTGCAGTGCTTGCCAAGTGGTTTTTGTAACTGTCATATGACCTATCCACAGTGTATCCCCTACTCTGTGCTGCTGAAGGACCTGGAGATGAGGAATCTCCGGGAACTAGAAGACCTTATCATCGAGGCTGTCTACACTGACATCATCCAGGGCAAGCTGGACCAGCGAAACCAGCTGCTGGAAGTGGATTTCTGCATTGGCCGTGACATCCGAAAGAAAGATATCAATAATATTGTCAAGACCTTGCATGAATGGTGAGGCTGCAAGATGGAGGGGAGCTTCTAGTATGCCCTTTGTGCCTCTCTTTACAAAATTGTGACGTTCAGAAGTCAGCCAAGGGTTTGTGATAGGCCTTGCAGGCAGCCAGGAAAACTGGGACCTCAGGACACAGAGACAGAGGGTAGGGACGCATTTGTAATTACAGCTGTATGGCAAAAGGAATCACCCCAGCCTTCCTTGTGCCTGGGTTGTAAAACTGACTTTAAATACAGCAGGTCTGTTTAACAGTGGGCTATAAACTGTTTATGTGGAGATGCAGGTAGACTCTGCATCCTAACTGTGTGGCAGTAGGTCTGTACCTTCCAAACATTAACTCAGTTTGGCCAAGCTCAGAAAGTTAATGTTTTTCAGTAACTTGTTAAGCTAGTTAGTACTGGTGGAACATCGTGAGGGATATATCAGTGAACGGGCTTTTGTGATTTGGAACATTGATGCATAGAATATTTGACAATTGTCTGAGTATATAAAGAATTGGGCAACGGGGTATGGTGGGACATGCCTATAATCCCAGCGCTCAGGGTGCTGAGACAGAAGGATTATGAGTTGGAGGCCAGTTGGAGAATCTAGTTTCCAGCTGACCCCCTGCCCAAAAAAAGTAAATGAATTTAGGAAGAGAACTGGGACTCTGAGATGTAGTCTTATTTTAGTGGAATTTGATATTTGCAAAAGTGATTATATGTTCTATAAGGATTTGCTCTTGGATTTAAATGATTTGGAGCTTATGAAGCCAGAGCTTCATAGGGAACCATGAGGAGGTTTTGAGTGAGAGAGAATTATTGGGAGTGGTGAGACTGTCCCATATAGGCTCGTTGCATGCTGTAGTCATTAGGCAGAGTGGACAACTTTGTGCTGGAAGATAGGGAAACTTGCTTTTTGGGGGGTTGCCTTGGAACTATGTATCCCAGGTTTGAGGGATACATGGCTTACCAGTTTAAGGTTTGCCCTAAACTCTAACTCTGCCTCCCAAGTGCTGCCACACCCAGATTTTTTTTAAGATTTATTTGTTAGTGGTACATGTGTTTAGTCCCTCAGAAGGTAGAGGCAGGCAGAACTCTGGGAGTTGGAAGTCAGCTTCATCTACAGAGTGAGTTCTATAATAGCCAAGGTTATACAGAGAAACCTTGTCTCAGGACTAAAAAAAATGTATTTATTTTTATTTTATAAGTGTCTTCCTATCATGTGTACAAGTGCACTGTGTGTTTTTCTGGTGCCCGTGGAGGTCAGAAGTGGGCATCCGATTCCTGGAACTGGAATTATGGGTGCTTGTGAGCTTGTATGTGACTGCTGGGAACTGAACTGAGATCCTCTATACGAGCAACAAGTGTCCTAACCATTGAGCAATCACTTCATCCACTAAAAGAGACTCACAGAATTCCTTTTCAGGTGTTAGAGGTGATTTAGAAACAGAATTATTGTCCTGAGAGATAAGTACAAATACGGCCAAATGTTGACCACATTGAATAGTAATGGTCGGTATGTGAATATTCATTATATAACTTTTCCAAAACATTTTTTTTTTTTTTTCCCGAGACAGGGTTTCTCTGTGTAGCTTTGGAGCCTATCCTGGCACTCGCTCTGGAGACCAGGCTGGCCTCAAACTCACAGAGATCCGCCTGCCTCTGCCTGCCGGGTGCTGGGATTAAAGGCGTGTGCCACCAATGCCGGCCAAAACTTTTGTTTCTGAGAAAGGATCTCAGTTTATAGACCTGGCTGGTGTTGACCAGTCTAACCTTGACTTCAGAAATCTGTCTGCCTTTGTTTCCTGAGTGCTGGAATTAAAGGCTGTGTCACCAAGCCCAGTCTATTTTTAAAATTTTTAAATAAAAAGTGGGAAAATAAAAGTAAGTTGTTGGTAACTAGGAATTAGCTTCAAATTCTCAAGAAAAAGGCAGTCTCTAAAATAGTATGCTTTTAGGAAATGTAATTTTTCTGTCGTAGAAAGGGATCAGTCAGTGTTACCTGTAGTTTGTCCCTCCTTCCATCTTAGTCTGTACAATTGTTTCTTTTTTTTTCTTTTTTTTTTTATTTTTTAAATTTTAATTAGAAAAAAGATTTTTTTCCATGCAATCCCAAGTCCTTCTCGTCCCCTCCTCTTTGACTCCCCAACTAACACCCTACCTATCCCATACCCTTTCTGTTCCCTAGGGAGGGTGAGGCCTTCCATAGGGGGTCTTCAGAGTCTGTCACATCCTTTGGGATAGGGCCTAGGGCTACCCCCTTGTGTCTAGGCTCAGGGAGTATCCCTCCATGTGGGATAGGCTCCCAAAGTCCATTCCTATGCTAGGGATGAGTACTGATCCACTACAAGGGGCCCCATAGATTTCTGAGTTCTCCTCACTGACATCCACATTCAGGGGGTCTGGATCAGTCCTATGCTGGTTTCCCAGCTATCAGTCTGGGAACCAAGAGCTCTCCCTTGTTCAGGTCAGCTGTTTCTGTGGGTTTCACCAGCCTGGTATGGACCCCTTTGCTCATCATCCTCCGTCTCTGCAACTGGATTTCAGTTCAGTTCAAGGTTTAGCTGTGGGTGTCTGCTTCTACTTCCACTAGCTGGTGGATGAAGGCTCTAGGATGGCATATAAATTAGTCATCAGTCTCATTATCAGGAGAGGGCATTTAAGGTAGCCTCTCCTCTGTTGCTTAGATTGTTAGTTGGTGTCATCTTTGGAGAGCTACAAAATGTCTGGAGAGCTCTCCAGACATTTCCTTAGTGCCTGATGTGTATGGCCATACCACCCAGAACACACCAAATCTTGTCTGTACAACTGTTTCTAATGGGCTGCAAAGATGGGAAACTGGGGCTGTATTCTAAGAAACTCCCCACAAGCCACTGTATCTATGAACTTGTTTGGAAGGAGAGAAGGGACTGCTGTAACCATTTGGCTTCACTGCTATTTATGGCTGGGTGTCTCCGTTGCAGGTGTGATGGCTGTGAGGCAGTTCTGTTGGGCATTGAACAGCAAGTTCTGAGAGCCAACCAGTACAAAGAGAACCACCACCGGACTCAGCAGCAGGTGGAGGCAGAGGTAAAGAGAAATGTTACATTCGTTCTCCTCTTTAGGGTGCTCCTAGATACTAACTAGTTTGAAGTGTTTTTGTTTTTGTCATGTGCTTTCATTTGAATGCAACAAATAGCCCCTAAACATGTCTTGGGTTTGATACTGGAATGTAGGAATTAATAGAGATGATAGGATGTGTAATTCTCCAGTGTACACACACTTTGCAGTTACTGAGGAAGAGAAATGTTGGAGATGTGTTTTAAAAGTGGATAGACAGGAGCTGGAGAGATGGCTCAGCAGTTCAGTGGATTCATTGCTCTTACAGGACCTAGGTTTGGCTCTTAGCACCCACATGGCAGCTCATCACCTGTAACTCCAGTTTCAGGGGATCCAATGCCTTCTTCTGGCCTCCATGGCTCTCACATGTACACAGATGTACACTCAGGCACACTCATATACACATAAAATAAAATATTAAAAACCATTGAAATGTGAAAGAAATGAGGAAAGGGCAAAGTCACCTCTTCATACCAGTTAAAATAACCCGTTAATTACTAGTTTTTGTTTGTTTGTTTTTTGAAACAGGGTTTTTCTGTGTGGTCCTGGCTGTCCTGGAACTTGCTTTGTAGACCAGGTTGGCCTCGAACTCACAGAGGTCTGCCTACCTCTGCTTCCCAAGTACTGGGATTAAAGACGTGTGCCACCACCACCTGGCCTTAAGTACTAGGTTTTTTTTTTTTTTTTTTAAATTTTATTTTTTAAAACATTTTTTTTAAATTTTATTTTACAAACCCATCCCAGTTCCCCCTCCCTCCCCTCCTACTTCGCCCACCTTTCCCTCCTCAGAGAGGGTGAGGCCTCCCATTGGGGGGCCACATTGAGTTGAGGCAGGACCAAGGCTCTTCCCTCTGTATCTAGGCTGAGCAAGGTATCCCTCCAAAGGGAATGGGCTCCAAAAAGCCACTTCATGCACTGGGGATAAATCCTGGCTCCACAAGTACTAGCTTACTAGGAAACTTAGAGCAGACTGATGTAGGTGAAGAGGGCAGAGTGCAGAGCCTTTTTGATGGTTCTCATCATCCCCTGGCTGAGCCATGCCTCAGTTTACGGCATCCTCGCCTGAACACATATCTACAAAGAGCAAAGGAGATTCTGTCATAGCCTTCTGTGGTGTTGTTTCTCTTATGCTTGACTCAGATTTATAAGCATTTTTTCAACTGAGTAGGTGAGATATATTTTTTCCATTTGTCCTTAAATTACATTGCTGTTCTCAGAGAGGAGAAACTTGATGTTTTCCTTCCAAATCTTAGAGCGACTGCTTTCTGGTGAGTTTTGCCTTCTAGAGCCTCCCTCCGAGTTCAGTCACCTTATGACAAACTGCCTGAGAATTCTCTCGTTTAGCCTTTTATATAAGTAACATTATTTAAATATAGTTCAGCATACCTGGGGGAGACAGAATACAATAGTATCGTTCTAAGGCTTTGCGATGTCTCTGAGGAGGCATTCTGGAGGGAAGGAAGGATGGCTGCAGCACCACAAGGTCCCTCTTCATTGCATTTGCTTTGGGAATCTATTTTTCTTTATATTTGAATGTGCCTGTGTATGGTGTTGTGTGGAATGTTAATATATAGCTATTGCTACACATTCACAAAATAGGCTATGTTCCCCTCACATAGGTAATAGAACAAGAGTAAGTGCTATTTTTTATTGTGTAGAAAATCCCTCAGGAGTTAAGTTGTTACAGTGTGCTAAATCCATGCCTCCTAGGTGCCTTATAGAGAGCAATTCTCACCATCTTCATAGCATTTCCCGTGGGCTTGATTTCTGTTTGCTCTTTTTGATTTTTGCTTGCTTTTTAAAATTCATCCCAGGCTGGCTTCAAGCTTTCTATTGTCCTTCTTCAGCCTCTGGAGTACTGGGACTATAGTTAGCTGTCACCACACCTGTCTGTCTCCCACACCTGCCCTAAGCTCTCCCATTCCCTCTCCCAAAGGCAGTTTCCTCCCCTGGGGAGCTCTTTTGTCTCTTGCTCATCTTTAGGGTCTCTGATCTCTGATGGTACCAGGCTACATTTTGTTAACAGGTGTGCCCCACTGAGAAATTCCTGATGCCTGTGCTTTGAGAAGCTCTATGAACTCTAGGTTTCTCGGGGGTGGGGGTGGGGTGGGACAGAGGCAGCCTCTAAGCCAGTCCCTTGAGGAAGGAAACCTGAAAGATTTAGGTCAAAGAAGACACACTTGTGGGAGTACTTGTTATCAAATGGGTTGGATAGATGGTGATGTAGATGACTGGGTACCTTAAAATCTTTGATGCTAAAATGGGTTTAGCTGGTAGACCTGCCTAGTAGCCATTCTTGAGTCCTGGACATGGGTATCCACACTCAGTTCGGTACTGCCTGGCCAAAGCACTAGTTATCATTGTCTATGTTTCTGTCTGTCACCTATTTTTCTTCCTTTCTGTGTATATTTGTGGGTACAGGTGCACAGAGAACCACCTCAGGTGGCTTTCCTGGGTACTCTCCTACTTTTTTTTTTTTTAAACTGAGTCTCTCATTGGCCTGGAAATCTCCAAGTAGGCCAGGCTGACTGGTCAATGAGGGCCAGGGGATCTGTCTCTGCCACCTGAGCACTGGGATGTAAATGTCTTCTACTATGCTTGGTACTTTGTGTATGGGTTCTGGAACCAAATTCAGGTCCTTGTGCTTGCAAGGTAAGCACTTTGCTCAACCATGTTATCGCCTTAGCCAGGTAGGTGGATTTTTTAAAAAGGCAGAGTTGTGATTTTTATTAAAAGACTATCTTTTAGACATGGTCTCACCATGTAGTCCTGGCTAGCCTACAACTCACTATATAGATCAGGCTGGCCTTGAACTCACACAGAGCTGCCTACTCTCATCTCCCCATTGTTAGGATTAAAGGTATGTGCCACCATGTCTGGCTAAAGACATTTAAAAAAGATTTCACTTTTATTTATGTGTCTATTGTGTGTCCATATGAGTGTATGCCACATGCATTTGGGTATCTGAGGAGGCCAGAAGAGGTTGTCAGATCCCCTGCAACTATGGGAGGTTATGAGTTGCCAGATGTGGATGTTGGGAACTGAACTAGGGTCCTTTGCAGGAGTAGCAAGTATTCTTAACTGCTGTGCCATCTCTCCAGCCTCAAGCTGAAGAAACTTTTGAACATCAGTAAAATGTATTCCCAAATCCTGAAAAGCACTGAAATCTGAAACACCCCAGGTTTGAGTCATTTCAGATACTCAACCTCCATAGTGATCCTGATTCAGTATGCAACTTGCATCCATTTGACCTGGAAAGCTCACTCTGTGATGTTCCCACAGTGTGCAGAGGTAAATAGAAGGCTATTTATACCAGTACCAAACACTAATTCTTTTTTTTTTAGAATTTTATTTATTATGTATACAACATTCTGCTTCCATGTATATCTGCACACTAGAAGAGGGTACCAGATCTCATAACAGATGGTTGTGAGCCACCATGTGGTTGCTGGGAATTGAACTCAGGACCTCTGGAAGAGCTGTCAGTGCTCTTAACCTCTGAGCCATCTCTCCAGCCCCCCCAAACACTAATTCTTAAACTAGAAACATGTGGACTAAGGAGATGGCTCAGCAGGTAAACATGCTTGCTGTTCTTCAGAGGACTCACGTTCAGTTCACAGTACCATGGATGACTCACAACCCCTTGTAACTCCAGCTCCAGGGGAACTGATGCCCTCTTCTAGCCTCTGGGGCCATCTTTCCAGCTCCTAGCTCCACATTTTTGCTGAACTCATTTCCATTTCATCTATAAGCAGCCTGTTTGTCTTCTGGGTTTCTGAATATCATTTTAGATTTTGTTGCAGAGGATTTGGGCTGCTTCTCTGGGTGGTCCTTATAGTGAGAACAGGACTTGGTGAATTTCAGGTATGTATAGGCAGGTCACATAAGTTTTGTTTCTCTTTCCAGGTTAGCAACATCAAGAAGACACTGAAAGCAACAGCGTCCTCCTCAGCTCAGGAGATGGAACAGCAGCTGGCTGAGCGAGAGTGTCCCCCTCATACTGAACAGAGGCAGCCCACTAAGAAGATGTCCAAAGTGAAAGGTCTGGTCTCCAGCCGCCACTAGGGCTGGCTGGGGCAGCTGGCACTCACCAGGCCTGGGGCAGGTGGGGAGGGGACACCCAGGGCCTATTCCTCCCCTCTCTACCTGCAGTGAGTTCCAGACCTGCCCACCCCTCACCAGTACCTCCCCATCCATTGGTCCCATTGCGGAAAACGATTGCTCCTCCTTCACCTCCTTTCCTAGTTGTTCCCTTCAAACTCAGGGGCTCAACGGATGCCATCCTAACAGGGTCCGACACTGCCCAGCCTCCCTCCAGGGGTTCCTTGTCTCTGTGTATGGGCTACCTCCCTCCCAGTTGTTCTTTTGCTCCGTGTCATTTTGTCAGGCTGGTTCTAAGCTGGAGGCAGTTTATCCAGCCCTGAGGGATGACTGGAGGAGGCTTCTCTCTGAGTGAAGAGGTGGCCTTGCTTCTCCAGCCCCATGTACCACAGTACCCACAATGGTGCAAGTGTCTCTAGTCAGGTAGCCACGTTGTTCCCTCTCCTGCCTTACTCCTGTTGGCAGTGCCAGTTCAGGCTGTGGAGGGATGTGGTGCTGGGCTCTGTTTACTAAACCTTTGGGTTTTCAGCCTCTTAAGCCCAGCCAGGATCTCTCACTAAGTTGGGAGCACTGGGCTGACTCACCTCTGGTGTCTGAGTCCGAGTGGAGGGCGCTTGGGGTCCGTGGGCGGCAGAAGGTGTTTCTCCTGGCTCGGTGTCCTCTGCTGACCACTCCTCCTGCTGTCTTAGGCTGCTCAGCCTTGATTTGGCACTTAGGCCCAGTTGCCCTCTGGGATTGTCTGCCAACATTTGCTCTCCTGAGATCTTTTCATGCCTCCTGGCTGCCCCTGGGGTAGGAATGGTGATGCCGAAGCCCCTCAGACTGGTGAAGGACCATTGCTGCTTTTTCTCCTTTCTTCCCACCCCTCCTTGGCTGGCGACCCAGAGCCCTCTGATGACACCATACTCCTGGCCAGAGAAAAGGACTTGACTAGACTTTCTGAACTTGAACAGTTTCAGGTTATATTTTAATTTTTTTTTTTTTGTACAGGTTGATTCTAATACATTTCAACATGCTTTTTTCTCCTTTTGTGTCAATGTTTGTTATGGTCTAATCGCCGGGGATTTCTCACCTGGTTGGAGGGTGTGTGTGTGTGTGTGTGTGTGTGTGTGTGTGTGGGTGTGTGTGTGTGTTGTGTGTGTGTGTTGTGTGTGTGTATGTTTTATTTTGTTTTTCTAAGGGGAGGTGGAGGCTCTGGACTGATTTAAACTTCATTGAGGAAAAAGCACATTTTAGAAAAAAACAAAAGAACAAAAGTGTAGATTTGGCATATGTGACTGTGGATTATGGGGTTGTACAGGTGGGTTTGGAGAGCAGTAATTTGGGTGGTTTAGAGAATGTGACTCTGTTCTAGTAGCATGGTTAAAAAGTGGGTTGATCCAGTGTTAAAAGTATTGTTTTACTTTTATGTTGGTCCATGTCCTGATATAACACTATGCCTAACCAGAAGTTAAGTTTGACCCCCAAAGTGTGTCTGATGAATCCCCAAATCACATCTCTGTGGAAGAGGGGTCCTGTTATTAAATAAACGTGGCACTCCTTGCATCACATATCCTCACTGGAAATTCATTCCTAAGGTCTTGGAGGCATCCTGTGGCTAAAACCCATCCACACTGATTTCTCCACCAGATCCTTTTGGGTATTGACATTCTAATGGGGTACATTTTGGGCAAGTTTTGGGAAACATGCACTTCTTAAAAACCCTAGAGATGCAGAACATCTCCCTGCTTTTCATAGTTTTTTTTTTTTTTCCCTCATACTCTTTCTGGACCCCAGACAGGGACACACTGTGAGCAAGCTTCAGCACAAACACCACCCCCCAGTGCTGGGATTAAAGAAGTGTGCCACCACTGCCCGGCTGGGTTTGCTTATTTTTAATTTAATTTAAAAACAGTAAAACAGTTTTTGAGGCAGGTTTCTCTGTGTAGCCTTGGCTGTTCTGGAACTCGCTCTGTAGACCCGGCTGGCCTGGAACTCAGAGATCCGCCTGCCTCTGGGATTAAAGCCATGCATCACCACCACCGGGTAGGAAGTGGGGTTTGTATGCCACAGGTGCCCATTTGTTTGGCAGTCCATTACTCTGAGGATCATCTTCCTGGCTTGCTGCTTCCAAGAAGTGATGCTGATGACAATACACTGGTAAATTTCTTACAGAATGCTCAGTCCTTTTCCAATCTTGTGAGATCAGTAACAGTGTTATTGTTGTTATCTTCAGTTTACATTGGAGGAAACTCGAATATTCAAAGGGTCTGGAGGTGAGTGACAGAAAAGAGGACTCCATATTCTAAACTTCGAGTGTCCTGCCATTGTCTTAGTGTGACATTCTAGTTTAAAATCTGCCCTCCCGCTGGCCCTTGCTATTGCCCCTGTCTCTGACAACTTGTCTTTTAACTGACAACCAGCCTAAGACTCCAGAGTTTTATTTTAAAGCAGGCAGTAGTTATTTGAGTTATTCCAGCTAAGGTATTTGAGTGTCAAGTTTAGCAGGTTTTGGGCAATTTGGTTGCACCTTCATCTTCTGGGGGTTCTTTGAATAGTCATGAGTGTCTGTCTATTCTATAAGCTTTTTACTAGAAACTTGTAGCTGTGTTTGAAGTATCTCCTTTTTATCACCCTTAGAGCATTAAGTGGCTTTAAAAAGTAAGTGTATTTAGAGTGAGACATCTGCAGAGCAAATCATTATTAAGTTGTGGTTCAGGCTGACCTGAGTTCATAGAAATACACTAACACCAGGCACATCTGCAGACCTCAACCACAACTGTCTCCTTTCTTTACCGAATAACCTCTTTCAGATATGACTCAAGGTAGAATTTGTCCTCCCCATATTTCATCCAATGTTTAATTAACTTGATGAGTCTTGCAGCATTATAATACCATTTTCTCATCCCAACTAGCCACTGGCTGGATGCAGCAACAGCAGGTCTGTCTACCATTTTTTTTGTTTGTTTGTTTTTTTGAGACAGGGTTTCTCTGTGTAACTTTGGAGCCTATCCTGGCACTCGCTCTGGAGACCAGGCTGGCTGTCTACCATTTTTGACCTCATTAAGAGATTTTTTTTTTTAAGATTTATTTATTATCTATACAGTGTTCTGTCTGCATGTATTCCTACAGGACAGAAGAGGACACCAGATCTTATTACAGACGGTTGTGAGCCACCACGTGGTTGCTGGGAATTGAACTTAGGACCTCTGGAAGAGCAACCAGTGCTCTTAACCTCTGAGCCATCCCTCCAGTCCCCTAAGTAGATTTTTGAAACAGGGTCTTGCTTGTGTAGCCTAGGCTGGCCTCTTAACTCACCATCCAAGTACTGGGGTTGTAGTTGTACACCACCATGCCCAGGTATAAGTGAAGTGGAGCTTTTAAATTTGCATTTACTAAGTAGGTTGTCTTTGACTTGACCTTGCAACACTAGCCAAGCTAATATAGTGTTAATTATCAAATTGGCCCTTACCATGAGAGATGAGAGATACTGTCTTTGATTGAGAATGGAACTGACAAGTAATGGGGAAGCAAGATGAGGAAAGCCCACTCCTGAGATCCTGCATGCCCATGCTAGCATTCTTCCCAGCTCATCTTGCTATGAACCAAAACAGAGGTTACCATCCCTCCATCCAGTGCAGATTTGTTCTCTTCAGCCTTGACTAGGTCCTCAGAGCTCTTATGCCAAATGCAGTGCCACTAGACAGCTTGTTCTTGCTCCCTATGGCTGTTAGGAAGTGTCACTGGGAATTGAACCCAGGTCCTCTGGAAGAGCAGCCAGTGCTTTTAATTGGTGAGTCATCTTTCCATCCCTGTTTTCCACAAATGTGACAGTGGTTTGTTCTGTCACATTTGTCTCACTGTCAGTGGATGACAAGACTTTTCCTACTTTATTGGGAAAGTGGGAAGCACTTTCCAATAAACTTAACCTCTGAGCCATCTCTCCAGCCCCTAATTTTGAGTCTTTATGTGGTAGTTAGCACTGATGAGCCCACTTGCTCTGGTGTTCTCTCAGCTTTCACAGCACTAATATCCCTGGGCCTTCCCTATGTTTCTCTGCCTGCTCTAAATTTCTTCAGGGATGTGCTAGTTACTTTCTGTGGTCATGGCAAAATAACCCAAGAAAATCCATGGTCCTTGGTCTCCATTGTTTCTGGGCCATGTTGGGGTAGAACATCACGGTGGAGCTGAATTGCTTACTTGTAGGCAACTGAAGAAAGTGAGAGCAAGGCTCGGGACGAGATCCATAGCCTCCCCTCCAGTCAGGTCCCATCTGCTAGCAATTCCCCCACTCCTGCTATCTCCGCCATCATGGACCAAACCACAAGCCTTTGAGGTGGAGAGGACATTACAGATCCCAGCTCTGGCAAGAGGTATCTTCTTTTAGAGTCCAGTGTGTGTGCTTGCTAAGAGTCCGTTGTGACCTTATTTTTCTTTTTATACATTCTCCATAGGTTGTGTGGTTCACTCCTGTGGCTTCAGTTTCACTTTTAACACCCAACTCTCCATCTGTGGCTATTCAGTGTCAAAAACATAGCCAGTTGGCCACTTCCCAGATCTGTTGTCAATAAATGATGTTCACCATCCAAGTTTCTTCTGGTTGCCATAACAAAAGGCCTCAGACAATGTGTCTTAAACAACAGAAATTAATTTTCTCACAGCTCTGGAGCTGCAAGTCCAAGGTCAGTGTGTTGGCAGGGTTGGTCTCTCCTGGGGCCCACCTCCTTCATGGGCAGACACTTGTCCTCCAGTCTTCTCTGTCCTCACAGGACCTTTTCTCTGTGTATGCAGATTGAATCCTACCCTGAAGATTCCAGTGAACTTTTACCTCCTTAAACGTCCCATTTTAGCACATTCACACTGGGGTATCTATCGGTCTTCAAAATGAATTTAGACACAGTACAGACCGTAATAGTCGTCAGCTGGTGAGAACGTGAGGTTCATCCTATTGTGTCCCTGCACTGTATTTGACTCACATACTGACTTGTATTCTTATTGTTTTAGCTAATCCCTTTCCTATCTCCTTTGTCACTTCAAGCATTTGAAAATTGGTTCATCAGCATCTTTTTTGGGTACATGCTATTGTTTTTTAGAAATGCAGCTAGAGGTCAGAATGTGTAAGATTACAGTAGATGGAAGCCAACTGTGGCAGCTGGTACTTCTAATCCCTGCACTCAGAGTGAACCAGACTAGCTTAGGGATAGCTTGGGTTACAAGTGTGAGCCTGTCTTAAAACAATAACAGAATAGATGGAAGGGAATTATATATATAATAGAGCAGAAGTAAGCTGCAAAGTCAAAATTATAAATCCAAGCCTCTGTTTTCTTTATATAAAGAAAAATAATCCTACCAAACCAGTTAACAAAGACAAATGAGCAAAGAGGACCACAAAAGCTTAAGACTGTTAGTTTAAATATGAATTTAAATTAATGACAGTTTTCTGGAAAGAGATCATAATTTATTCATGAAATAAGGAGATCAAGAAATTAAAGGTAGAGAAAGCTGCCTGCTGTCAAGCCAGATGGCCTGAGTTCCATCTGGGACTCACACACAGGGCCAACTCCTTCAAATTGTTCTCTGACCAACACGCACCCTGTGGGCATGCAGGTCTACATATGGGTCCTCTCTCCCTTCCCCCCAACCCCCCCTCTTCCTCCCTCCCTCATTAAGTGTACTTAAAAGCCAGGGTTAGTGGTGTACACTTTTAATTCCAGCACTTGGAAGGCAGAGGCAGGTAGATCTCTGTGAGTTCAGACCCAGTCTAGTTTACATAGTAAGTTCCAAGAGAGAGACCTTGTCTCAAAAAAGAAACAAGAGGGAAGTTGTTTCAACTTCCAGGTACAACACCCTGGTTTGATGTTCAACACTGCAAAACCAAAACAACAAAGTAAAAACCATGGAAGAAACACCTTCAGGAGAGCTCTGGGCTCATGCTCCTGTTTGTTACCAAGGGATCAGTGATTCCCTTCCATCCTTAGTTGACTAGGTGATTTTAGAGAAAATTTAAAGTTTCTAATTGAATCCTACTACCAAAATCCAACGAGAGTGTTTTTTCTTTAAAAAAAAAAAAAAAAAAAAAAAAAAAAGATGTTCATTGGTCAGCAGGTAAAAAATGCCCTCACTTGCGGGCCTGGTAACCTGGATTCAGTCCCTGAAACACATAATGTGGAAGGACAGAACATACCTTTGACAATATCCCCCCATTGTTTATGAGTATAGATGAAAATAGTTACATGAAGGTAGTCACACCTGTCTCATTGTACATCCTAAACTTAAGCAAAGGATGCTTCCTTGAGATGATAAAAATCCCAATGTATTTGAACCCAGTGCACATTGCCTTTCAGGAAAAACACCTAAAGCTCTTCCCACCAAAGCAATGATCTTGATGTGCTTCTAACATAGTGAGCCCTAGTCCTGGACAGTGAGTAATGTTTTTAGCAAGAACTCTTCCTGCCTTAATTGCTGAACCCCCTAGAAGATGCTTTCCCCGTTTGTGCCGCTTTGCTTTGGTGCATTGTGCTCTGCCTGGCTTGTCCTTTGTGATTTACTTGGCAATCACTCATCCACAGAT